TATTTATAAGGAAATACAGCAATTATAGTCTTATATTTATTATCATGTATTAATTTGGTAATATAGCCTGCAAGGTGTAACCAAGCAGGACTTCCATTGTACTTTAGCACAAGTGACAACAAATGGATAAAACTGAAAACGATATGGATTTTTTTTCCTTGAACTAAGAGTTAATTTTACTCACCAATTTCAATTTCATCTATTAAACGTAATACAATTTCTTGGCAGCACTTTGATGGGTAATTGCAGCATAATTTGCAGTTACTAAGGGGATTTTGATGAATGCAAATGGGACACAGTAATGAAAAGATGCTTTCAGTAGTGACTGTTTCTCCATCCATAACAATCATTAAGTCTAGTGTTTATTATTGTGACTGACAGACACAAAAGTCCTTACCTAACAGAAGAGATATTCTTCCCCCAACAAATTTCTCAGGTCAGTCAAGAATGGGACTTTCCCTTGTGCTTATTTCTAAGGTTTATCCATCATTATACATTTAGTCAGCTTCCTGAGTAATTTAAATAACTATACACTATCACATTTTCAATTTGCTTTAATGTCACGCTTTTAGTGACTACTTATAAAGCCATTGATGGTTTTTACCTACACGAGAATATAGATGTTTGCTGCTGCTGTTGATGTTCTGATTCACCTTTTTTTTTTAAAAGTAATTTGCTCTTTTACATCTGCTGTATTAAATATGGCAGTTCTCTTTAACAATTTTTTTGATCGATGTCACTAGTCATGCTGCCTGCTATTCTACTGTTGTGTCTTTGTGCTAAATTTCACGATCTTGATAGCTACAATAGCACAATTGTAGCATGCCAATTTTCCTTCATTCTGCATAAACAGCATTTGAGCAAAAGACTCTCACTCCATCTAACTGTTTGACCTCGTTCTGTGGATTAAATTAGGAAGTGAAAAGAAGGAGAAGGGCATTTTAGACTAACTGGTCCTTCCTGTTTGTAAGCCATAAATCTTGCACTTAAAAATATTACTGACGCAAGACGTTCAAGGTATCTTATATCTAGGAATACAGAAGTACTCATCAGAAATACGGAACGGTTCCTCATTCTTGAGCTTTCGAATAGGATTCCCTGATGAAAGTATCCCTATCAACTCACTAAGGTTCTATGCACTTTTAAGTAGGCATTCTCTACTGGTGTACACAAAAAAAAGTCTGCAGCCCCTGTATAGGTTTGTTGCCCAAGGTAAAAACAACATTAATATACCCCAATAGTACAAAAAATGTTCCTCAATGTTCATTTTTCTACCTTAAAAGGTACATTTACCTACAGCTAGGGCACAACTGGCAGACCCTTGAGGGTACAGTCCCAGTGACAAGTAATTGTACCCTCAAAGGTACAAATTGGCACTGACAGTGCAGGACACCATCTCCTTCTGTCCATCAAACACCTCCCTAAACATCCCACAAGAAAAATGGCCTTGTAAAATTCTACCGCCCTCTGAAATATTACTTCATGGCAACTTTATTGCGACAATACTAAGTTTCTGTATTACTAATATTAATGAATTATATGGTGGAAGGGTGACATCGTGGATGTTATGTACGAACTGCAACATCGTGGGTGCAGACTTCAGTTTGGGTTGGGCAACCAGTTTACCTCGAACCCTCAGAGGTTTTTTTTTCTCCCTACTTAGGAGTTTTTGCTTCCTCTCCTCCGTGGTCATCTGGCTTTCTTTCTTTCATTCATTTCTTTGTATTTCTTTCCCTGTTTTTGTATTATTCTATCTTAATGATGTTGTGATGTATCACTACACACCCATGTAATGTGCCTTGGGGCAACTATGCTGTAAAAGGTGCTATATAAAAAGTAAACTGAATTGAATTCGTTAATAAAGTTTTGTATTCCTCAGCACCTGCAGCTGAGATCTTCAGACCTTTTCAGTTCCCCAGGAGTCATCATTCAGTTTCAGCATCTTTAAGACCAGCACAGCTGCCAGAACAACACACAGCCCACATGTATTGGAACTGAAATAATTTTTGGTATATAGTGTACAATTACTAGTGCACACATATAGAATTGAGGGTTCTTCTTAAAAGGCCTGGGCTTTTGAATAGAATTTGAATGCTCATTCTTGTGTTTGAGTAGGTTTCCTCCAGGTCCGCATGTTCAAACTCATACAAAACGTGAACGATTTGGTGGAATTCGGGGCTGTAATCGACATTTTATGCATGGGTCAGTGAGGGACTGTCCAGTGACAGAGAGGTGTCCCATATTACACAACATCTAGTCCATTCCTACAAAAGACCTCAATGTACTGGAATTATCGCATCTGCATAGCCCATGTGATATCAGTCATTTAGTTATATAATACATCCCTAGTAACTTTGAGTCTCAACAATTTAACCGTTGAATAAGTTTCCTTAGAATTAATAGAAAAGTCCTCAGTATTTTCACTGCACCAAATAGGAACTGAAAACCACAGAGGACACATTCTTCCCTAAAAAGATCAGCACACCTGGCCTTGTCATTTAATGGTGGAAATCAGAGTTCATCCCATTCAAATTTATCACTAGTCTGAGCGATTGCTAACACAGACTTCTAGTAAGTAAGACTGCACCTGCCAACGCTACTGTTTATCGAAATCAGATTGGGACGACTCTTTGCAGATGATTGTTCGGTAAGACTTGTGCTGATTCTGCCTTTTCTGCCAGAATAACTGGTGTCCCGTCCGCTTATCCTGGGGGTACAAAGCTGGGGCACCTTGGACGGGATGCCAGCTTTAGCAGCACAATCTGAAACTACTACAGGAACTGGGCTGGTGTTGCTCATCCGTAATGACAATTTCCACATTCTTAGTATGCCACATAAATACACTCACCCATACAACCATCCATTAATCCATTTTCTGAAATCGCTTCTCCTATTCAAGGTTGCGGGACCGACGCCTATCCCGGAAGCATTCATACACCTACGGGCAATTTAGTAACTCCAATTCACCCCAGCATGTTTTGGTCTGTGGAGGAAACCCCACGGCGACACGAGGACAACATGCAAACTCCACACATACGGAGCAATGGCGGAGAGCCATAATATAGGCCTAATATACTTATACTTCGTGTCGAGTTGTAAAAAAACGGTAGGCTGAACTCGAAAGAAGCATTGTCGGGGAGCCTAATTTAAGATACTTACTGAACTTTCGCAAAATTATATTTCATTTTGCTAGCGATCAAAACACTGCAAACATCTTTCATTCCGGCTAAACTTTATGCATTACAAGTGTGACGTGTGAAACAAGAATGAGCAACAATGTTTGGATTTAATCTGATGCAATGTAAGAGTAGTGATATATCTTATGTGTGCTATTTCCTCACCGATGGAAAACTGGGTGACGCAATTTCCTCGTATGGAGGAGCCGGTTCTGACTTTCGGTTTCAATTTTTCTTTTTTAGAACAACATGCGCGTAGGCGTCTCATTTGCGGAGGCGGCAGTGGTGTCAAGGTATAAAAGTGCATGGTTGTTAGAAACAGTCTGGAGTAAAACATTAGCACCGTAAGCAAATAAGCCAGCTTCGGTTAACGAACATGCAGTGGTAAGTTTATGTCTGCTTTATTCTGACTAGTGTTCAATTAAAACTGTATTTGGAAACGTACTACAGAAATCGGGCTGTATACGTTGCTTAGCTGTACTATTTAATTACTTCGTTCAATATAACCGTTAAAAAGCTTAATCGAAGGAGAATCGTTTAGAGTTAAATAGTTAAAGTGCTCAGGTCTTTCGCTAGACTGAATTAACTTATTTATTACGCACCGACTCAGATATGTGAAGTAGGTGCCGAGTACATAATTCAATGATTAACTTTGAACAGGGGAAACCTGGCGTTTTTTTTAGATGATCAATTAATGCCAATATTTGAAGAATTTCAGATTTTCTTATTAATCGATAAGAATTTGCACAATACAATAGCATCCGGTTAACTTACCTATTCAGAAACAGACTCGTATTTGCTCGATGCAAGACGCCTGCAATCTTGCCCATTACAAAGGTGAAATTTTATACAACTGTCATGTGTGTTTCTCTAAAACAGCAGTAAACCGCAGTTTGGTCAGTGGCTGATCGATCAGGTGCGAAGCGGACGGTACGAAGGGCTGAGATGGGTGGACAGCAACAAGATCAGAATCCCCTGGAAGCACAACTCCAGGAAAGACTGCGGCGATGAGGACAACAGGATATTCAAGGTAAGCACTAATTCATAGAAAGGTAATGGTGACAGTTCTAGCAACTAGCAACCCTGTATTGTTTGTTTCGTAAATTAACCAACCGGAATAGAAACGTTCATTAATTATATCTTGGGCAAACTATTGCAATACTAAATCAACATTTAGGTGTTAACGAAAACAAACAATACGCATTAGTGAGATTACTTTAATGTACGATGCCACATCTATAAATGTGTAGAAGCAGTTAGGGTTGGGTATCGTGTGGGATTTGATTTTCCGATACTCATACTGGTGCTTAAAACGTTTAAAATGGTGCCGGTGCAGAAACCGGTAAAATCCGTTTGACTGAAATACAGCCACACCAGACCATTTAGATCTATGTATTTTAACCGTGTTTAAGGTATAGCTACTAGATGACATCAGAACAAGTGTAATGTTAGCTTGCAGTGGCACGTGAGGTTCACTGATGCTTCTGTTTGCTTGAGCACCAGAGGGCAAATATTTCTACAGCTCAGGTGTTTAAGTGACACTGAAATTTTTATTGCAGTACGGTCTGGTACATGCTGATCGTATAGGAACCAGTGCTATATTGGCAGTGGGATTTGGTACTTAATCCTGGTAGCGATACATTTTCAGTAAACTGGTAATTGCAGTGATCTCTCCCTTCCCAACCCTGTCCTTGTAGGCATGGGCCGAGGCCAGTGGAAAAATAAACGAAAATCCTACCGACAAAGCAAAATGGAAAACGAATTTTCGCTGTGCTCTGAACATTCTCAAGCAATTCAAAATGGTAGAGGACCACTCGAAGGAGTCTGACGACCCGCACAAGGTCTACGAGATTGTCATGAATGGATGTAAGAGATACCGAAAGGCAGAGTCACTTCAGGAAGCTCTCTCACTACTTGTCAAACCGTAAAGGTGTTGTCAAGGATTAACTCCGGTGCTACATAAAATGTCTGTCATGACTGCTGTTTAGCATTTACAAATGCTCTAGGGGGCGCCATTTTTAGGGCAGTTACACACAAAATATGCCATTTAATGTCAGAGACACAGTCCACAGTCCATCCCAGCACTGGACTTTGCTTGAATGGCAGTTAAATGAAAGTCAATTCATTATCCTTGTATTTATAATAGTTTTCTCTTGTCACTTACCATAATGCTTTTTCACTAAACTTTCCTCTTCCCAGATAATTATAAAGACCAGAACAGTCAGGATTTCTCCATGAATGTCGAATATCCTTTTATCCAAGACATTTATATCACAGATCACTCCATATCTCAAGATGAAATGCAGGTAATGCTTCATGCTCTCATTTAATCATAATTTTATTAACATCTTTGTCTGAATGGAGATTTACTGGCAATAATCTTCTACCTGTACAATCTGGTCTTGTGTATGTCCTGCATGCATTTCAGCTATACTGTATGTAACTGAAAGGGGAACGTTGGAGTTCTTCAGGTCAATTTAGGCCAAACTTTTATATCTATATTCTGTTCCTATCCGACAGGAGGCCTTGTCGAATGACATGCTTTCCCTGAATCTCAACAACCAACCAGGAGGTATTGGTAGTCTATAACTCACACCCTATTTATAAAAGGAGTAATTTGATCTGAAACCTGTTGACATTCTCAACCCTCAAAATAACAGAAAACTGGTCTTTGTTTCCCCCCTGAAATAAAACTAATGATTGAAGTCTTTAATTGATGTGATTAGGGAAGGGAGTTGGGAGCTAGGGAGCAAAAATGTGGACCATCTGTGGGTCCCCAAGGAGCAGGTTGGAAGACACTGGTGTAAACAATGAGTGAGTGGTGACGGCGATGTTCTTGTTTCCCGGCAGATGACTCCCAGTGGCATGTGCCCTATCCCATCACCAGTGATGCTGAGCAGGGCGGCTACCCCAGCCAAGCCATGACCATGGAAATCCAGCAGATTCCTCCGAGCCAGATGCCGGTGGTGGTACAAGAGCCCTACTGCCCAGGTATGGTGCTGCCAGGAGATCTGCAGGACTTGAGAGCTGAGAGTGCTGTTTCGTGATGTTTCATGACTCCAGACACACCACTGCCCCCGCCCCCCCCGCCCCCCTTGCAGTGAATCAGCCTGAAGTGTGTGACGTACCACCCTCACCTCCTTATTACAACCTGGAGATCAGCATCTGCTACAGGAAGAAGCTCATGCAGAGCATCACAACCACGAGCCCCCGGGTGCAGCTCCACTTCCGATGTGAGGACCAGACGCTGGGGGCTCAGTCCATCTGCCTCCCCAGCACCGAGCACATCCTGGACCGGTATCAGGCCCAATACACCAATCGCATCCTCAGCAGCATCGAGCGAGGCCTCCTACTGGAGGTGCGGCCTACAGGCATCTATGGGCTGCGTCAAGATAGGTGCCATGTGTTTGCCTGCACCGGAAACCCCGCAGAGATGCCAAACCCCCAGCCCAACAAGCTGCCCCAGAGCAGTGAGGTGGAACTGCTCAGCTTTGAAAAATTTATCAGGGGTAAGTTACTTAATCACTCAAGATACTGCATAGTACTGTGGAATTACACCTACAGGGCATCGAGTCCTATTCTTGGCTCTGTGATGAGTTATTTTTTTTATTCTACTTGTGTTCATAAGGGGTTCTACCCACAGTTCAAATTAGGGATGCATTGATCCAACTTTCAATTCCAATACCGATACCTGTACCTGGGTTTTGGGTATCGGCCGATCCCAAGTACCGATCTGATACCAGTGTTTAATAAGTTGTATGTCTCACTGTGGGGAGGAGACTGAGATTATTCTGTTATTCTGTTTGATTATTCTGTTTGATTGATTGATGTTTACGGTAGAGGTCGACCGATATTGAATTTTACCGATACCGATAGCTAGGTTGGTCCGTACTTGCCGATAACCGGTTAATTAACCGATAGTTTTTAAAATGGATACTGGATTAAAAAAAAAAAAAAAACTAAATAGAAACACAACACTCCATGTAAAATAGTACTAA